TGAGAATCTGACAGTAATTTATCTGAAGTATAAATTGAAATGGTAAGATACACTTGCTATCAGCCATTTGACAAGCATTTATTGAGTTCCTATTGTATTCCTGGCTCTGGAAATATAGAAATAAATAAGCAATGTTCCTTCTTCTTAAATAGCATATAATCTAGCCTCTTCTGCAAAGTAGTAGATGGCTTAACTCTAATTTGAGAAAAAGAATCAAAGATAAAGTGGCCTATTTTGAGAAAAAGTGTGATTCATCTGTGGAGCAAGAAATGCAAAACACCAATAAATTCTCCAGACAGGAAGGGGACTGCATGGATCTAGGACTGACAGCAGGGAAGTCCCCTCACTTTTATTTAGATTCCAACTTACACGGTCACAGAAATCTCAGTGGTCAGATATACCCTCTGTGAATATGGAGGACAACATGCACGGTAATATACAGCATGAACGTGGTCCTCAAAGAATATAAAGGATAATTTCACGACTCAAGCAGTATGGAATTCAGCCAAGGAAGATGCTGTATCAGATCTAATGCTTGCTGACAGAGGAAAACTCACTCAAAATGTGAAGGAAGGAGGAAACGCTGTGACAGGGCCCATTAGTTCCTCAGATTTGGCATAGTGCCAGAAGGGTCCATGGGCTGAAGTACTCTGTAGCGTTGTACTTCTACAAGGAAACCTGGGAGAATTGGGACTCTAGGGGGAATTATCTTCTTGGGAGAATTATCTTCTTGACAGAATTTTGAAAAGGTATCTTTCTGGTCAATAGAAGTAACTTCTGAGAAAAACATCTGCAACAATGACAAAAAATTAGTATGTGACTCCATGTGACAGGGATTAAAATGAATTCTTTCATGAGATATTTCTAAAAAGAAGAAAAACAGGATAAGCTAAATTATGGTCTATCAACTTCAAACACGTGAGAGCCAGAAAAGGAAGTCAAAAGCTGTGCAGGTTACTGTGGTCATTTTAAAAGAACTGATGTCCAAGGAGGCTGACCCGTGTATTTAGGGCCACGCTGCTGGTTGGCAAATCTAGGCTTTGACACCAGTTCTTCCGACAGCCCATCTGGTGCTCTTATATTAATACCACAAGAGCCTGTTTGTTATTGTTCTGGGGCAGCTAAGTTCCTCAGCTGATGTGAGTTAGCAGGGCATGTGAGAGGCCTGACTGTACTTCTCTGCTCCCCACCCCACCACCACCAAGTAATTTTAAGCATTCTTACTACCATTTTGCTTAAACGAATAAGCAAATAACGAGAGACATGAATCTACTGTTTTAACAACTTTATGCTACGACTTAGAGAGTCAAACTAAGTAAGAACTTCACATTTCTAATACTTACTGTGTCCTCTAGTGTGTCTAGTTTCAGAGAAAGTAAATGCACCAGCTGAAAGGAATGTGTCTCCCCATATAGCTAAGGCACCTACATATCTTAAGGAATTGCAAATTCTGCCCCCCACTCATCCTTTCTCTCCTGCCCTCTATTCCCCAGACTCCCAACATATACGTCGACTTGCAAGGCAAGCAGGGCATGAAAAAGGTGAGAACTTAGGGGAAAGAGCTTTTCTCTTGTTAGTCTTACAATAGATAAGTGAATTTCCTGAATAATAAATTAAGCCTCTAGAGATAGAAATAGAATAGTGAAGAGCTGCTATGAGATATGATATTCTCTTCCATTCACTCAATAAGTACTTCGTAACTCACTTGAGGCTGGGAAGTTCTATATAACACATTAATACAAAGACTTGAAAAGAATGTCAGTAGCTCCCTTTGCCTGCAGATTAAAAAAAGAAACACAAAAAACCACATGGGACTATAAAAGATTAATTCCAAAGTTGCTGAGTTTAGACAGAAAAGTAAATAGAACAAAAAACAAAGGTATGCACAGGCCAAACTCACATGTATTCTAAACCCTGCACCATGCACTCTTGTATTCTGAGCAGAGACATTTCACATAGAGTACTTAGTTGTATTTTAAACACATTTTTTTTTTTAAATCTAGCTTTTGTGGGGCGCCTGGGTGGCTCAGTGGTCGGGCGTCTGCCTTCGGCTCGGGTCATGATCCCGGGGTCCTGGGATTGAGCCCCACATCGGGCTCCCTGCTTGGCGGGAAGCCTGTTTCTCCCTCTCCCTCTGCCTGTTTGTGTTTGTGCTCTCGCTATCTCTCTCTGTCAAATAAATAAAATCTTAAAAAAAAATAAAATCTAGCTTTTATAACATTTGACTCACATTTACTCTAATCTTTCCCTAATGTAAGAGGCTCAAAGAAAGTATCTGTGGCAAATATCCTAGGTTCTGAGCATTCCTCTGGGTTGCGTGGACTAAAGACATTGAGAAATATTATCAGAACTAAGTGGGGTATCACCACTCAAACTGTCATCTCCATAAAAGGAGAAAGGCTGGAAGCAATCACTCCACTAAGTATATTTAAATTGCAGAATGCAGCTGCCTCCGTCAGTTCCATGTCAGTTGTCTTTGTCATATTACAATTTATGCATCGGGAATAGTATCCTAGTAATCTGGAAGAGTTAGTACACTCCTAAGACTCATGCCTTACAGATTTTATGGCACAGGTATGAGGAGGTGCAGATTTATTTTTCACAAGGCTCCTTCCGTCTCTTCTTCCTTAGGTAATATATTTTCTTACTTAGCCATTTTTCTCTTTCTCTTTGAAATTTACATTAATCAGTTTTTTAAAATGGCATTTCTTTGCACATAAAAAATTACAAGGTTTGCATATGAATTATTAAAAAGTTATAATTATAGTGTAGCTGATTGTGGTGATAACCTGATTCATTCAAACTGTATTTAACATGAATTTAATATGTCCCACACTCGATTTTATTTCTCAAAATTGACATTTAGTAAATTAAGGATTAAAGGTTTGGTCAATTTTCAGGTGGAAAACTAAATGTGAGGAGGACCATTTGAGGATGTATTAGCTATTTTAACCAGCCTGAAAACTTATTGAGTACTTTTAGAATACATGGCTGTCTGTGTAGACCCATCACTATTCATTGCACATCCCTCTCAATGTTGCATCCTAAACGAAATGGAAAAAAAAAAAGTCATTTGCTCATAGGCTAAGTACCTGCTCCTCTTTCGTATAATCCCTCATTCTATGTAAGTATAATTCGTGCTTTTTTTTTGTTACTACATTTTATTTGGGTTCTCCGTATAATCATAGTCAAAGGGTTGCCTTTCCTTTCGCCATTCTTATTACTAGAGATTTCTGACAATGAAAAACTGCTAAGAGTTTAGCAGTTATATATATATATATATGTATGTATATTTTAAAGATTTTATTTATTTGACAAAGAGAGATACAGCAAGAGAGGGAACACAAGCAGGGGGAGTGGGAAAGGGAGAAGCAGACTCCCCGCCGAGCAGGGAGCCCGATGTGGGACTCAATCCCAGGACCCTGGGATCATGACCTGAGCCAAAGGCAGACGCTTAACGACTGAGCCACCCAGGCGCCCCACAGTTATATATTAGTAAGCCTCTGAAATTCAGTATCATTCACTAAGCTGATTATTATGGTATCTATGCCGTTGTTTAAACATAAGACATGGCAGGGCTAGAAAAATATTAAGGCTTATTCTGCTCTTACACCAACTTTAATTAATGGCTTTTTAGTAATAGCATGGCCTAGTAATTAAAAGGCCTTGGGATCACAACTGGATTTAAATTCTGGACCTGATGCTTGCCAGGTAGGTGACCTTGACCAATTTCCTCATCTGTAAAATGAGGATAATGACAGTGCCTTTTTCACAGCACAGGTCAGAAGGCAAGCCAAGACATACCAGGCATTTAGCCTGCTGCTCGTCACTGTCCTAGTCATTGTTTACTATTAATGGTAACATAATTTACATTATCATTAAAAAAGTAGATCCATAATTTACATACACATATTACATTTTTAATTGTACTATAGGTTTCAATTTTATTCACAAAGTTATTTAATAGATGGTTTAGTGCCTTCTTGAAATTCAAATATATTACTGTAAGCAACATATTCTATACATACACACCCAGGAACATACAGATGCGTGTATGAATTTTTCCTACTGAATCCATATATCTACTGTTTTAACAACTTTGTTTTGAATTCTATAATTAGAAAGTCAAACTAAGGGCACCTGGGTGGCTCAGGGTCCTGGGATGGAGCCTGGCAGGGAGTCTGCTTCTCCCTCTTCCTCTGTCCCTCCCCCCAGATCATGTCTCTCTCTCTCAAATAAATAAATGTCAAACTAAATAAGCTTCATATTTCTAAAACTTACTGTCTTCTAACGTGTCTTGTTTCAGATAATACAAAACCCAAAGGTAAAAGGAATTTGTTTTGCCAAATAACCCAAGTATTTTTATATCTTTCTTACGGGATTGTCATGTTGAGTAAGGGACAAGCAAGGCTAGGTAGGGAGAGACAGGTAGGGGACTAGGGTCACTCAGGGGGCGACGTAACCAAGCTCACAGAAACCCCAGCTGTGGAGAAACAGACATGATATTTACAAGAACACCTTGTTTGCGCTCATGATATTTACAAGAACACCTTGTTTGTTCTCATGATAGTTACAAGTCCAACGTGTCATTCTAAATATAGACATGATATTCACAAATCCACCATGATAATGACATGAAACTTACCGTTCCCTCCTCAGTTTCCTATAAAAGACCGACCATGAAAGCCCTCCGTGGTAACCATTTAGATCCCCTCTCATTTTAGAGAGCTTTTTCTTTCCTTTCTATTGTCACCTTCACTTAAACTTTCACTTCACCTTTTTGTATCCCCAAAATTCTTCTGTTCCGTAAGACAAGAACCTGTCAACAATGTCTACCCATACCTCACTAGTGACAATGATTTCTCGTGATTAGCAATTTATTTTACTGTGTTTGAAAATGATTGTGAGGATCCTGCCCGGGGTTCAGTATTGAGTTCACAAGAAATTAAAATTTATGTTTATATGAAACTAATATAAGTTTCCAAAACTGAGATACATACCTGCGTTCAAAAAAGGTAAGGTATCTTTTCCATTCACACTTTCTGGGGCTGTACATTCACATACCAGTGCACACTAGGGAAGAATAAAAGAAAAAAAAGGAAAACATGTGAAAATAATTAAATGAAATTCATTTTGTTTGCAAAAGAAGTGATGCACATGGTTTCAAAAACTTTTGAACAAGACATTTTTGTAAAATTTTGCAGCTTTATCTTTATGAAGCTTGTTTACAACTTTTGACTACATACATATGATTCTATTGCATAATTAAAAACTAAATCTTGGTTCTAGTTAAAAACTACTTAGGAAAGAAAGCAAGAAGTGGAAAAAAAAGTTGTCCCCCAACATGCTAGAAACCTGCTCCTAGTACAGCAAATCACATTGACAAGCAGGATGATTTTGTATTTGTCACCTGAGATAGTTTGGGATCAATAAAAAGCAAATTACTTTCTAGATTTTAAGTAAAAGTTTTAAATGAAAGCTAAAATATCTTGTACCATCAAATTACATAAGACGAAAGGTTTTTGTGGCAAAACAATGCAAACGCTTGCTCATAAAGTACGAGGACACTCAAAGTATGAGGATACTTTATAAATAAATTGATTTATAAATGATGGATTTGAATAAATTTGTAAAGCTGATCCAGAGGTCATGAATCTATAATCTATGATTAAGTTCATGAGCTTTTACAGAACTACTAACTACTCTGGACAGAGAGAAGAAACAGAGAAGAGCACATTGCCATGTTCCTAAGCTAGTGAAACAGGAATAGGCAACAATATCCCAGACCATGTAGCAGTTAGTGATGGACTCTTCTTAACTTCCTTTGAAACTATACTTAACAGAGGAAGCAGCTTTTCTGGCCCCAGAAAGCTGAGGAGATCTATTTTCACACAGACACCAACATGACTGGCATTTGTTTTTTCAAATGTTTCCTTCTATTGCTAGCCACAAAAAAAGGGTGGGTGTGGTAGTTTGAGGAAAGAGGAGAGTGAATTTTTAGAGCAAATATATCAGACATAAATAAATGCAAATAAAAACCTAACAAAGGAAAACCCAGAAAATCCTTTGGTGAGGAGTTCTGAGGGAAGCAGCCAATTTTCTGTAGCATGCATGGCTTTACTCAAGAGACTCCAAGGGCTCAGGTCACCCTCCCCAGGAGAGTGTATCAAGATTGCTTGGGCTATTTCCAAACTGTTCCCTTCTACTCTTCCCTCCTCCAGGCACTGGCCCCCTTGGAGAATTATGGCCACTGAGGTCACTGTTAATGATGAGACATATGTCAAGTATTTTGAGAAGAGAGATAATTTAAAAACATTGATTTAAATGTTACTTCCGTATTTGTATAGTCCACTACTATTCCCCCATCATAAACATTATCACATTACTCAGGAAATTTCTTCATAGGAAAAAATGTGCTCTCATATAATTTCTTTAGTGTTTTTATTGAGGTTCTACTTTACTGAAACAATGAATAACTGTAAACAGCTCTTATAATCTGATGTTCTCTAAATCATTTTCCTGACCAAATCAGAACTCAGAGCTGATCCTTTTTTTTTTTTTAAAGATTTTATTTATTTATTTGAGAGAGAGAGAATGAGAGATAGAGAGCATGAAAGGGAAGAGGGTCAGAGGGAGAAGCAGACTCCCTGCTGAGCAGGGAGCCCGATGCGGGACTCGATCCCGGGACTCCAGGATCATGACCTGAGCCGAAGGCAGTCGCTTAACCAACTGAGCCACCCAGGCGCCCGAGGTGATCCTTTCTTTTACTCCACAGCTGTTTGAAAAATGGACTTCCCAAATCACTAGAGCAAGATGCAGTGATGCTTGGACATAAAATTCTTTCTCTTATTCCCAATATTTCCTCTATACTTTTTAGTTCATATATAGCTGTTAAAATAATCTTTCATAAACTTAATATCATCTTACCAGTGCTCTGCTCTAAAATGTATAAAATCGGTTATTTGCTGTCCAATCAAATCCAGTATTCAGACTGGTGTTCAAATCCTTTCATGATTTGTCCCTGATACCCTTCCATATAATAACATAATATAATAGGTATATAGCTTTGAGCCATCCTCCTCTCCAAAACAGGATTATCACCTACAATATAATTTATAGAAATGGTTTAGATTAAACCCTTTTAGTAAGGAAGTCCATAATTCATAGGGTTCAGGTTATTTTGAGAAACTGCTTCTCTACATGGAGGGAGCCCTGCCTCTTCATAATCAAAGTCAACTTTCTGTTTCCTAATAGAAGGCCTGCATTATTTTACCAAATGGATCAGAAATAGAATTTTCATACGTTTGTATCTCCATCTACACTGGAAGGCAGATATTTAGAATAATTTTAACCTAATAACATTCTTATTTTACAACTTTATTGTATTTTAAAGCTTTACTATTCACAATGCTGTCAAGATTTAAATCCACAGAACATAAACAGAAAATATCCAATAAATACTTACTAAATTAATAAATAATTTTATATTTGGACTCTTAATTATTTTCTTCAGTTGTTTCCCAAGTGTACCGTCTGTGTCACTATTTAAATTGAGAGTTTTGAAGCCAAGAACCATAGTTATTTCCTCAGCCTATTTTAATTTTTTTACAGTTGACCCTAGAACCATTTTCACACTGTGCTAGATGCTACATAGAATGCAAAGATTAAAATGATTTGGAATCATTAAGCACAGGCTTAAGGAGCCTCCAGCTATGTATACTGTTTATTGCTGTCATTATGATGGATATTTTCAGGGTTACGCACTTATACTGTGTGTGCTTTCAGTGTAACAACTTCATATTTGTGATTCTGAGCAGGAATAACGAACACCACATGCTTTTTGTTCCAATAGCACTGTAAGCCTATTGATTTTGATGAGTGCTTTAAAAAGTGTCATCTGACGGTAAGTGTGACCAAGAAGAAGAAACATAAGATATATTAGATATATATAAATTTCTTGGAGCTTAATGATGTTGAATATCAACTACCATACCAATTTGCCATGCATTGGGCTAGAAAATTAACCAAACTATAAGGACAATGATTATAAAAGACAAAGACCAGTACTTCTTGGCTAAGCACTTTTACATTTGTTAGTTTATTCCTTAGATCATGGTTGTTAAAGTTTGGTCTGGAATCTCCTGGGGTCCCTGATAAGTTTTGTGTTTGCACCCTCCGCAACATCTGGCATAGGGTGAAGACAAAATCATTTCCATAATAATACTAAAACACTATTTGTCTGCTTCTCTCTTACAAGCATATAGTGGAATCTTGTAGAGGCCCTATTACATAATCATTTGACAGCTAATGGTATGCATGCTTGTGTACTCTTCTGTTTTAAACATTTCTTGTTTGAAGTACTAACACGATAAATGGCCATAGATATAACCTAAGTAAGCAAAATCTGTAATATAGTAAATATCAGTAGATAAAATCCACATAAATACCAATTTTTAGAGTAAATTATGCAAATTGCTACACTTGGGTGATCTCATTCAGTCTCATGGTTTAAATACCATCCAAATACCATCTGACTACTCACAAATATCTAATTCTAGCTTGGACAGCTCATGTGAACTCCACACTCAAACCTCTAACTGCCCAGATGTATGCATCCATTTCAAATTTCAAAGTTAACATCTCAAAATCTCTGGTCCTTCTGCACCTGCTCCTTTCAGTTTCTTTGTCACTACAGATGGTAAGTTTATTCTTTGGTTTTCCTTGGTACCTGGAGTCTGGCCACATTTCCCTTTCTCTGATTTAACTCATCTTCATCTCTGCCTTGAGTCTTCGCAATAAACAGGCTCCATTCTTCTGTCCTTGCTTCTTTTCAGGCCATGGTCAACATAACAGCCCAGAACGGTCCTCTTAAATCACGAATCAGATCATTTTGCACCTACACTCAAAAATCCTCCACTGTCTTTCTATCTAGCTCAGAGTCTAATGACCTTTAAGAGGGAGTATACAATCTGTCTTCCCTGCCTGTGGACCTTATCCTCAACTCCTACCACTTTCCTCTCCAACCCCCCGTTCTAGTCACTACAGGCACCCTGCCACCTCAGGGCCTATGCCCCTGCTGGTCACTCTACCTAGAATTCTTCTTTCTCTCATATACCCACATCTTGCTCCCCATTTTCCTGCATGTTTCAGCTCAGATAACATATTACTAGTGAATCTATCCTTGATCACCCAGTATAAAAGGGCCACAGTCCACACTCCCTAGTAGTCCTTGTACCCTTATTTTTTTTTGATAGTATATAGTACCATCTGATCAACAATATATTACTTGTTTATTTTATTGTTTATCTCCCTAAAAGGTAGTATCTGCATCTATGTGGTTCATTGCTGAACACCCAGAACCTAGTAGAATGCCTAGAACATAGAAGGCAGTATTGTTTGACAAATGAGTGATGAATATTATATGCCTGCAAATATCTTACAAGGTAAGTCAAGTCAGTTATATTATTTTTAATTTTGTATTTGGGAAAAACAAAGGGAAAAATAGTGTCTGCTTTAAGATGCTCCTTAGCTCCCCTAGGACTCTACCTTTTCCTTGACCATGGCCTAAGAATATCTGATTAAAACACCACTTCAAACTATGGGAGCAAAGTGACCTGAGAAGGGCAGCAAGGCATCAAATACTAGTTAGGTTAGGCTCGTAGTGAAAAGAAGTATTATTACTCCACTTATACCATCTCTGTCACTGTCATAAATACATAAGGCTTTTTCCTTTTGTAGAAACCACCACTACTTTGATCATTAGTACTGTGCCATGTGCCACATTCAAATATAATACAGACATTAAAAAGGGGAGACAAGGCAGGAGCTGAACTTGGCCCCCACAGAGCCTCACTGGAGGATGCCTGTTAAAAATCTTCCTCCCCTGACAAGAAGCCAAGTCACCTTGGTGTCAGGGCAGAGGGGAGGGCTATCTCACAGCAGAGGGGAGAGCTACCTCACTTGATCCTGTTGGCTGTTAATTATATTGGTTCTTCTATTACCGGATTTGATCATTTGGCTTTCTCATTCTCCTTTCCCTAGTAGCATATTTTTTTCTTGACTATTTAATTCAAAGTTGTTTTTAAAAAGTTTCTTTCTCTTTCCTTTATAATGCTGCACTCTTTACTGCATCCTCACTCTAGTCTTTACTTATGGACCAGTTTGTACACAGCCTTATAATACGCAGCCAAATATTATCCCTTCTAGGGAGACAATTTTGGATTTTATTTCTTCAAGATAAAATGGACTTCATTTACTCATTCACTCATTTTTCCTGTGCTAGGCTCTGTTCTAGGCACTGGGGGGAGGAGTAAAGGAGAGAACAAAATAGACAAATATCTTTCTCTCATGGAGTTTAATTCTAGTGAGGGAAACAGACAATAAATAAGATAAAATATATGTGATGTTGGACAGTGATAAGTACTAAGGACAAAAATAACGCAAAGAAAGGAGATAGAAAGTTTCTGGTAGGCATGACAATTTTGGATACAGGGCAGAGAAGGCAGAGTGAGGAGGTCACATTTTGCAAAAAGACCAGAAGGAAGTGAGGGAATGAAGCATATAGTTACCTGGGGAAAATGCTACAAAGATAGATTGAAAAACAGAGTGAAGGACATGAATCAGAAATGTATCTGGAATGTTTAACAGCCAGCCAAGAAGCTAATGAGGCTAGGTGAAAGTGAGCAAAAGAAGAGTGGAGGATGAGGCAAAGAAAGTAATGGGGGGCCAACACTCGCAGGACTTTAAGTGGGGTCACTGAAAGGATTTAGGTTTACACTTTCATGGAGTTGAGGAGCCATTGGAGAAATGAAATGTTCTGTGTTATGTCTTAATAAGTGCTCTGCTGAAAATAGACTATGATGATGGGGGTGTCGGGAAGGAGGAAGAAGGGACATTTAAGAGACTACCATGAACATGTACATGACAGACAAGGCTGTAAGAGGGAAAGGCTCAAAAGTCCCTGGGTTCTGGATATATTTAAAAGTCAAAAATCAGCAGGATTTGCTGACATACTCACTGTGCCTGAGAGGAAGAAATGAGTCAAAGGTGACTCCAAAATGTAAAAAAATTTGGATACCTAATGCAACATTTTATCAACTATATGAGCTTTGTAAAATGTCCATGTTACTGTTTCTTTTGTGAATTTTTCTTTCTCTAGCTATGTGATTTTAACACTTTGTCTTCTTTCACTATGTATGTACGTATCAAATAAAAGTTTGAGCTGGGGGCGCCTGGGTGGCTCAGTCCCTTAAGCGTCCAACTCTTGGTTTCTCTTCAGGTCGTGATCTCAGGATCATGGGATCAAGCCCAACATCGGGCTCCGTGCTTAGCAGGGAGTCTGCTTGAGATTCTCTCTCTCCACCTCCCTCTACCCTCCCCACCCCACTTGCTTGCCTCTCTCCCTTTCTCTCTCCCTCTCTCTTAAAACAAACAAAAGTTTGAACCAGTGTGGTATGGTGAATGACCTTCTGAACCACTTTTGCTTGATGAAAACTATATCGTAACAATATAATTTGAGGAAACAAGTAAGTTAATGTAAGAGGACAGAGTTTGGATTTTCATTTATATTTTATTCCAGGCTCTGAAGGTTATATGAGATTAAAGATTCAAATGTAGTATTTTACATCAGGGATATAGTTACGAACTGGATTGTGTTCCTCAAAATTCATCATGTTGAAGCCCTGAGACCCAGTATGACTGGATTTGGAGACAGCCTTTATGGAGGTAATGAAAGTTAAAGATGATGATAAGGGTGGGGCTCTAATCCTATTGGGCTGGCGTCCTTATAAGAAGAGGAAGAGACACAAGAGCTCATTTCACTGTCTCTGTGCTAATGTGCCAAGGAAAGGGCATGTAAGGACACAGCTGGATGTTTGCATGCCAGGGAGGGAGCCCTCACCAGGAACGAAGTCATCTGGCACACCAACCTGGCACTTCCTGGTCTCCAGAACCGTGGTAAAATCATTTTTTGTCATTTAAGCCATTCAGTCTGTGGTATTTTATTATTATGGAAGTCCAAGCTCATTAAAACAGGTATTATTATCTTCTATCTACTTCAGTATACACAAGCAATAACATGTGTCACTCACCCACATGACTGGTGCTAATAGTTTCATTTCTTTTTCCTCCATTCATACAAACTCGGGAGAGCAGTGTTGTTTTACAGATAACTTCGATTTCAGTTACTTTGTCTTGTCCTATGTTTCAGTCATTCACTAACTTCGGGACTTAAGTCCCCATTAGGAGATTGTGTTAATACACTTCATAGAGATTTTGATTTAGCAGATCTGCAAAGGAGTTTGCATATCTAACAAACACCCCAGAAAATTCTGCTAATGCTTTGTGAAACACTGAGATAAAGTTACTCCCACATAATTCTAAATATTGTGCATAGTGGACCTTACTACATGTTCTTCACGAATCATCATGCTTCTGAAGGATTGCCAACAGTTTATAATAACTTTATAAAAAATTTGCAAAAGGTCAATGTTTACTAAGAACCCAGACAGGACAGAACTAATGCCAACAATGATTGGTACATTTATCGTTTCAGTCAACTTACGATTTGTACATGGTACATGCTGACGCTGCCACCTCCTAATTCTAGAATAGTTCAGTTAAGACTTTTTAAGTTCACATTACTAAGTCAGAAACATTATGTGGGGCTTTGGTGGGGTATATTCCTGGGTATCAAGTTCTCTGCTTACGAAGAGTATGATTCAATTTGCACCATATAATAGCAACAGAGTAAAGGAGTCAGGCGGTGGGCAAGCTTTGAGGGGAAATAGAGAGGGGGCTAGTAATTGAGGGGAAATAGAGAGGGGGCTAGTAATAGATTGGGAGCAGTCAAAATAGGCCTCCGTTGAAATGGGAAGTGTTTCCGCTACTCGTCTCCTGGCATACTGCCACAGGTCTAGGCACAGTTGTCTATTTCTGTTCTCAGTTCCCCACCTGGCCTCCAAATCTTTCCTCCTTAATCTTGAGGCAAGCATTCATGTGGTGGTGACTAATACGCACCTTATATAGAACTCCAAAGGAAAGGGGGATTGAATGAAGGAGCCCCATAATTGGGAGGTCTTGGATGCACACATCCTAAAAGCCACACTGGTGTTTTGAATACACAAATCTTGAGAGGATCTGCTGCAAATTCTTGACAGCCCTTACATTATCAGGCAACCTGATTCAAACTTTGAGCCTCCCTGGAGTATTTTCATGATCCTCGCTGTGTTCTGGGGGAGAGTAGAGGAACAGAGAAGAACAAGGCTTGGCCCAGCAGATAAGAGCCTAGCTTATTCTGGGGGCAAGAACAATATTCTTTTGAAAGACAGTCTTAGATTTCTTTTGTAAAGTTAATTGTTTTTTTCTTTTTTTTAGACAAAAAAGTTAATTTGTTGTGCTAGATAAACACCATTTCTCATGTAGATGATTTCTCAGCACCCCAAATTCAGTATGCTCCTAGATAAGGGCCACTAAGCCAGAAACTGAATCCCTAAAGGCCTTATCATTAGAAAATGCTCATTTATGAAAAGGTAGGAATTATAGTGTATACACAGAATCTTTCCTGAAAAGATGCAGTTTTTAAGTCCATCCCTTGTGCCTCAATAAAGTAGGCGACTACATTCCTAAGACAGGAATTTAGGTTAATACTTATATCAAGTTTCTCTTTCTTAGAGAAAAGAAAGTAAAAAATCCTGGACATGTATTGATATGCACTGGGACCTTTATGCTCAGCTTCAAGGAAGCCGCTTCCCCTCCAGCTGGTGATGCCCCTCCTCCAAAGCTGTCCCTCCACTTTGCGCTATTTCCTACTTCTCTCTGCAATTTTATAAGGCCCAGCATTATTAAATCTGTGCTCCTTCACATACAAATGAAATCTAAACTCAAATTGCATTTCTTTCCAAAGAGGGTTTTGAGAGTAGAGAAGTGGTTACTTTTGGCAGTAGTCCTCCCGGAATCTTCTATGCATCTCAAGTAGGGTTAATTAGGGCAGAATGCAGCAGTGATCCGTACTTTTGTTCCAGCTGAGAAGAGGCAGGGTCAACACGGGGAGCCCAGGGGCAAAGAAGAAGGCATTTCTGAATGGCACATGGCTTTGCAGAGTTCCGTGCAAATAGACCCTCTGGTTCAGCGGACCAAACATGCTTATGGCACTTCAATTCCAGAGCTGATTTCTCATTTGGCTTTTGAATAATAAGATTTCATAGTGCACAGAGGTGCTGATGATTCAGGCATCTGGCAAAACTGATCGTTTCTAATTTAATTTGTGCATTGAGCTGACTGAGACCCTACCTTTTGTCCCTGCACATCTGTGGTGATGTGGTCGGCTTCCCCATCCTCAATCTCCCCCATCTTCACGACACTGACTTCTATGGTGCCAACAACTTTGCCACCATCTGAAGTTCTGCAACCAAAAATAAATGGAAAAGTAAGAATCTTCTCTCTCCTTAAAGTATGCTCAAACATGTTTGTTTCTGAAAACCACAAATATTACTCTTTACCTTCATTAGTTTTAATTAAATCTATTTTAAAAACAAAACATGTCAATAGTGTTAATTTAAAAAAAAATGGTTAACCACCAATTTATGAGGTAAGTGCACCAACTGTCAAAAGCTACCTCATGATGGTGAAACCTCTTCCAGACACTCAGGAGTGGACACAAATATCATCCCTCAGTGTCCTGTTTGGCAACACCACATCCCCACAACAACATGAACCGTGGCTTCTCTCTACCAACTGCATGGATGTTGTGCACATCTGTCACAGAAACCACAGCTGGGGGCACCTGGGTGGCTCAGTCGGTTAAGCATCGGCCTTCGGCTCAGGTCATGATCCCAGGGTCCTGCAATGGAGCCCTGCATTTGTCTCCCTGCTCACTGAGGAGCCTGCTTCTCCCTCTCCCGCTGCCTTTGTTTATCCTCTCTCTCTCTCTCTCTCTCAAAATCTTAAAAAAAAAGAAACTACAGCTGAATAAAATAGAAAAGAACATAAACATCCCTATATTCTTCTCTGGGCCACTGGCCACAAAATCTGATTTGTGCCTTTTTCCTAACACTATTTTTCTAAGAGACTAGGTAAAGGAAGTTCTCTCCCAGCAAACATAAAAAAGTTAAGGTACATGCAGAACAGAAATTAACCATAGAGATAATTTAGTAAACACTTTACTTCATCAGATAAAAAGAATCAGAGACTCAAAAAGATGGAAAGACTCATCTAAGGTAACCAAATGGCAAAACCAGAAATCCAGGTTTCTATCTTCTTCACGTCCGTTGGTCACTGAAAAACTCCATTTAATGATGATTAAGATTTCCATCATTATCATTTTCAACATATGAATTTTCTGGTGAACAATAATGAAAGATAAAAATAAAATGAATAACCACCCTCCTTTAAGATTCTCTAATTTCTTTTCTTGGGCAAGAAAATATACAGAATAAATGGTGCCATCATAACATGGGAACAGTGTGACACATATTTTCCCCTCGAATCTCATTTTGAAGATAGGCAGCAAGCCACTGCATAGGCATGACATTTTGCCATAACTTCTTTCTTAACCTAACTGACTAATATTAGAAACGCAATGTTTCGTTTTGTCATGTTTTTTCCAAAATTTGTTTTTAATTTTAATTGGGATACAAATGATGTCTTTCTTTCAACCAATTCCTTCTAAATGCCACTATTTTATCATTAAACACAAAAGAGAATTAGGAAAATTTGTAGAGTTTACCAAAATACTAATTCAAATAATGAATACGTTAGGTGAAAAGGAAACCAAAATATGTTACTAGATCATGGCAGGTTTTTCTCAAAATATAAAAAGTATAAATTAAGACACACCCTTTGAATTATGTTTTTTTTAAAGATTTTATTCATTTGAGAGAGAATTAGAGAACACATGAGAGGGGGAAGGGTCAGAGGGAGAAGCAGACTCCCTGCCAAGCAGGGAGCCCGATGCGGGACTCGATCCTGGGACTCCAGGAGCATGACCTGAGCCAAAGGCAGTTGCTTAACCAACTGAGCCACCCAGACACCCTTGAATTATGCTTTTAAGGAAACTGAAATAGGAAAATTCTGGTGACATATGCATACCTAATGTCATAATGTCATAAAATAAAAATGTGTACATAGAAAAAGAAAGTGATTTCTTATTAAAATGAAGATTTCTTATTAAAATATGAAATAAAATGCTTTTTGGTGACTTTCAAAACAGTGGAAATCATCATATTGACTTAATTATTTGCAATTAATATAGAAACTTTAAATACTCATTACAAAGAAGATGTGTATATAGAGGACACTGTATGATTTTGTGAAAAACTGCATTAGCTCCAGTTCTGGGGTAGTTTATTCATTACACCATTTTCCCACTGGAAAATGACATAATAACTTGTCATAAATCATGGTGTGACTTAACTCTGTACAATTATTCAGTACCTAATAAAGACTTTAATAAGAGCTCTCATTGGCACTACTCATAGCTTTTTCTAGAGGTTTGCAGGTTCTTTTTCCCCCAAGCTGAGCATCAGTAACAATTACAGGTATCTTTTCCTTCTCGTAGGAGTTGCTTAAAATGTTTTGCTTGAACAAACTGAGCTAGATTCATTTCTAGGAATGTAAACCCATATACAACTTTCTAAATGTTTTCACCAAACAGTGCCATAATGATTTGAAACAGAAGGTAGGCTTTTCACAGTCTCTCCTGGGCCTGGGTTATAAACCAGTATGTGCCATAGTGGTCAAAAGTGTGCACTCATGAGTTTGGGCTACCTGCTAGCTGCATGACCCTGGGCAAAGAATTTAACCCACGGGAAACTTCGTTTGCAAAATGGAGATGATCATTTTACTGTAAGGATTAAATTGTGGCATGACTGCTGTAAAAGTGCTCAGCACAATGCCTTAAACAAGACGAGTGCATCTTCCTTCTACCCCTCCTCTTCGTCCTAGTAGTAGGGCAGTGGGACCGGTAGCAGCAACAATAGAATCGCTATGTCATTAATGGTATTTATACATGTTTAATTTTATAGTGTATTATATTTATACATGATGTTTAATTTTATAATGTATTATATATTTATATATGATTAATTTTATAATGTATTATATATTTATGTATGATGTTTAATTTTATAATATATGATATTTATATGTTTAATTTTGTAATTATATTTATATGTTTAATTTTATAATGTATTTATATATGATGTTTAATTTTATAATGTATTATATGATATTTATATATGATGTTTTATAATGTATTATATATTTATATGTGATGTTTAATTTTATAATGTATTATATTTATATATGATGTTTAATTTTATAATGTATTATATATTTATATGTGATGTTTAATTTTATAATGTATTATATTTATATATGATGTTTAATTTTATAATGTATTATGTATTTATATATAATGTTTAATTTTATTCTCTCCAGAACTTTTACTAGCATAGGCATCTAAGACGATAGTAAAACATTATAGGATCTCAAGCTTCATTTCAACAATGACTGAGTACTCATTAAAGATACAGAGACTTAGTAATAACAGATATTATGAAGCTTACATCCCTAGTAGTGCAAACAACACAGGTTTGTAACTAATTACAATGTGGCTGAATCTTTCAAAGTGTGAAAGTGACTGAATAAGTAATGTACTATGGGACTGAGCTGAACTATAGCTCTATCTATTTCTGTTAAAACAATTAGCTGGGGCGCCTGGGTGGCTCAGTCGGTTAAGCGTCTCTGCCTTCAGCTCAGGTCACGATCCTGGAGTCCTGGGATCCAGTCCTACATTGGGCTCCCTGCTCAGCAGGGAGTCTGCTTCTCCCACTGCCCTTCACCCTGCTTGTGCTCTCTCTCACTCTCTCAAATAAGTAAATAAAATCTTAAAAAAAAAATCCACAATTATCTGGCTACTTTTTAAATAATTTTAATGCCTTCGTGGTTTCCTACTTCATTTTATCTTCTATAGGCTTCCACTCAGTCCCAGAGTGGAATCAAAGCAAGGAGCTTGCTTAATCTAGTGATGCTAGAATGATTCTAAAAAATTTTTTTTTTCCCAAAACCATTTTGGAAAGGGAGTTCTGACTATTCTAAAGCATGTCTCTTCATCTGAGATTTGTGGGAGACAGAATGGGAATCCAAGTTATAAACTAAAGAGCTGAATTCAAGACACCCAGAAGCATGGTTCATCCTGTCAATGAACTGGAATATAAGATGTGGAAGCTGTTTTCTATTTATCCTGCAACAACTTAACACACCCCAAGTATGGATATTCAACACTTCTCTTCAATCAGGGGAACCATGATTGAAGTATCTATTTCATGTTTTCAAAGGTGATTTCCCACAAATTTAGAAGAAAATTCATTCTTAAATGCTTAATTATGCTTTCAACTTATCACCCATCAGGTTTGTGGGAGGGGCTTAACTTAACCATTATTCATCACCAAAATTCTCCTGAATTTTATCTAGTGGAAATCATATCTTCATGGAAGATATATGGAAGAGACGTCTGGGTTAGGAATCAAGAAATCCAAGTACTACTTCCAGTTCAGCCACTAACTAGCTATGTGACCAACAATATATCACTTTAGATCTCTGGATTTCAGTTTCCTCTGCTAGACAACGAAGAATTGGTCTCTTAACAGCTCTTCTATAATATTAGCACTCAGGCGCAGTGCTCTAGTCACTCCTGTGATTCCATCATATGTTTCTATCACAGACACCACAAGCCATCACGGACCGATACAGCCTCAGGAAAGACCTCAGGTACATTCTAGCCTCTCCTCATTCCTCATCTTCTCATCCTACCTTTCATGCAAACAAACCAAACAAGCCAAATGCATGCCAAACCGGGGAAGTAACTGAAAACTTAGGGTCAAATCAAAGGGCTGGTTTTTCTTATAACAGCCAATGCATACATATAGATTTGACTGCCATTATGGCACAGCATTTTGGCGTTTTTACAAAGATACAAATTTGACTGAACCCAGACAAAAAAAGTGATTTTACACACTTTCCTAGCAATTTACATGGCAACAAGAACAGGCTGCAGTAATAAATAATGATCTCAATCTATATGAACAAGAACAGCAAAAAAACTGTGCCATTTCAGCCACTTGACAGGTCATTAGCTCTGTTTAATGCAGAAAGCTGTATGAGAAGTAAAAGATGAATAGTTCATGGCTGATATAGTATTTCGATCCAACATCAAAGTTCCTGGTTAAACTCGGCAAATACAGTAGTTCCCCTTATCCATGGTTTCACTTTCTGAGGTCTCACTTACCTGTGGTCGACAGATGATCCTCCTTCTGACATATCACTGGAAATCAACAGTAGCCTAATGCTATATCACAACACCTCTGTCATTCACCTCACTTCATCTCATCACACAGGCATTTA